TAAAATTACTGTAAAAAGCATAATTTACAGTTCAGATACAAGTTCTCAAAAACCATATTAAACTGTAAAATTATTGTAAAAAGAATAATTTACAGTTCAGATGCAAGTTTTCACAAAAAAAAAGTTTTATAACATGATAAACTTTACATTTCAGCCTTTAAACCATTTTTAAGAAAATGGATGAGTCAAAAGTATTAATTATTATATTTAAACAATTATTATCAATAAATTATTATATCAATTAACATAAATTAGGGGTGTGCGATATTGACAAAAATGATACCGCCATAATTTTCTGGGATTTTATCGATAACCATAATTAGATGTTTTGCTGAGTGTGTTATTGTGCTGATATCTTAAGGACTACCGTGGACAGCTGACTCCAGAATTACATACATATTCTGTGTGGTCAGTTTTATGGGCATTTTTACCTTTAAACAATTTTTTCTAAAAGTGTGCACCATCTTTTGAGTCAAATTCTTGCATTTGGTTACCAAGCAAATGAAATCAGTATCAACAAAATTTATCTTTGCAATGCAGAGGAAACACAGAAGCTGCATTAGAAGTGGCATTTAGATGTATTTACACACTGTTTAATGCAGCTCTGAGGGACATGGAATACTTTAACCTGCAGTTACAAATGCACAAATAATGTTTTGATATTTTAAACATAAAACATTGAAAACAGATGTTTGAAATTATTTAAAAAAATGTAAAAGGTACCTTAAATGTGAAATTAAAACTGCCAGTAGGTGGCAGCAAGTCACTGTTAAGTGAGTCATTGCGATAAATGGATTTAAACGGTTGATTCATTCAGGAACGAAACACCGTCCTGTTGATCAGAGACGCAAAACAGTGCTGTGGCTGGAATGATTTTTGTTGGCGAAATAGAGCAAAAACAGGCAATAGAGCAAAAACAGGCAATATTGTCTAAAACGCAAGTCCCTTTAATATTAACTTCAATTCTAAATGCATTTTAATAGACTGATTCATGCAGTGAAAGAACGCACTCTAAATGCACATGCGCACTAGTTTAACCTATGTTAATTTACTAGACTTCGTCACGTAATGTATGCGTACACTCTGTAGCAGTGGCGTGTGGTGGTGTTTTAAAATGAGAAGGCAGTTATATACTGAACAATATTTTGGAAACAATTTACAATAAGGTTTCATTAGTTAAAATTAGTTAACTACTTTAGTTAACATGAACCAAGAATAAACAAAAGCCTACTTCTACAGCATTTATTAATCTTAGTTAATATTGATTTCAACATTTACTAATGCATTATTAAAATCAAAAGTTGTGTTTGTTAACATT